TCCCCGTGCACCCGCCCCGAGGAACGCCCCCCCCTCCTCTGCAGCGGTTCCCCTTGATGCCACCGCGACACATGCCCCCCCACATGATGCATAGAGGGCCCCCACCAGGGCCAGGAGGTTTTGGGATGCCTCCCCCCCACGGAATGAAAACTCCCTTCCCACCACCGGGTCACTTTGTGAGACCCGGGGGGATGCCGGGAAGCGGGGGGCCAGGCGGACCTGAGGATAACAGAGACGGGCGGCAGTTTAGGAACGACAGGCAGACGTTCACGCCTAACAGAGACCAGGAAAGGTTTGGAAGGAGATCTTTCGGAAATCGGGTAGAGAACGATCGCGAGCGCTATGGTAACCGCAACGATGACAGAGACCATGAGCGACCAGGTAACCGCGACAGGCGAGACTGGGGACGAAGAAGCCCCGAGCGTGATAGACACAGAGACTTGGAGGACAGGAACAGGCGGTCCAGCGGCCATCGAGACAGGGAGCGAGATTCGAGAGATCGGGAGTCTCGCAGAGACAAGGAAGAAAACCGAGGCAAGGAGAAACCGGAGATGACAGACAGGGCAGACAGCGACAAAAACCACGAATCTCACAGCGGCAAAATGGAAGACGCAGACGTTGTTTCAGAACTTGCTGCGGGAGAGTCTGAACCTACAGGTGTAAAGCCTGTTGAAGAGTTACCATCCGAGGCTACCTCATCCGTGGAACAAGCGGAAAAGGATACGGGCTCCGTGGCGGAGGCTCCTCGCTAGCGACTGGAAGTTGTCGAAAGATGACAGTGACATTTTGTTGGGAGTGTAGAGCTTTAGAGTTGTACAGTCTGCTGTATCATATTCGCTTCTGCTGATATCACAGCCCCTCAGTAGTTGGTGGGGAATTGTAAGCAATTTGATTGCTTCCCTTCTATTTAAAATAGCCACAACGTAACATGAAATACTGAAGATATGATTAAAATATTACCCATTTTTGCTGTAACTTTTTTAAAGTTTTGACTTTAAAAAGTTTACAAATCGGAAGTAGAAGTGCTTTCTATTTTTTTTTTTTAATTTAAGAAAAGGTAACGGTGAAAGCTCCTCAAAACAATAGGGATGTGTTTTTAATAAACTCTATTTTCGTAACAAACTTTAACGTGTGCTATTCTTCCTACGCTGCACTGAAGTGGAAAAGGAGTGTTCAACATCTTAAAGTTTGAACTGTTAATGCTGTACTGGAGTCTAAATTAGACTGTTCTGTTTATATTTGTTAAAAGAAATACATCTGTTTGTGTAGCTATTCACAGAAGCAAATTTTTATTTGTAATAGTCATTTTGATTTTTAGACTGCTGCATTTTAATGATCTACTTGACCATACTAGGTAAAAGTTAGTGGTTTTAAAATGTTAATTGAAGAGTTTTAACTGTTTAGTGTTTGCAATGCAATCAGGTTTTTTTCCTTTTTTTTTTTTTTTTCTCCTCCCCAACTAGTTCTGTGGTAAATGTTGCCCTAATTAGCCTTTTTTTTTTTTTTTTTAAACAAAAAGTGGACACCTTCAGACATACTCAGACTGCTCTGCTTGTGATGTTATAAAATTACTGTGTGTGGTGGGTTGGGAAGCACAGCAGTGAAGCATCTTTTGTACTTGTTCTTCACTGATGCCTTTTTGGAAAGTCGAGTGAAAGAGAAATCAAAGCAGCCAAAACACAATGGAAAATGCTAACTTTTTTTTTTTTTCTTTTAAAAATGGGGCCGGGAAAAGGAAGGGAGGCGGGAGCGTGCGCGGAGGTTTGGAAAAGTTGCCTCTTCCTTCGCACAGAGCTGGGCTGCTGCTGGTGTCTGTGTTAACCACGGCTACCTCCTGTAACCCTGCAAGAGGTAGGTTTTAAAATTTTTACCCACCTGCTGCTGTACCTGTCGATTGGCTGGATGGGCAAAGAGCGCGTTTGCTTGTCTTTGAGTGAGTTTGACCATCTTCCCTCCGCTTAAGGAAGTTTGTCAGATTTTGAAGAGGGCAAGTACTTGTTCTTGGTGATCGGCCCTTCAGGCGCGAACCCTCCAGAGGTGGGTGCGCTGTGCCGAGCCGTGTCGGAGCGTGTCGGAGCCCCAGCAGCTCTGCCCTCGGACACTCCAGCCCATCAGCCATGCACCCGGCCTTCTACTGGAGGAACTTGTATAACTCTAGAAGCGTAGTGGAAAAAAAATTGTACGAATCCTGTGCATATTTAATTTTTTTTTTTCTCCTCCTTGATATAGGTATGTTGTTCTTTTAAAGTTGGGTTGTGGGGTTTTTTCCCTAATTGAAGGGCAGCTGCTTTCTTACATCAGTACTTTTTCACAGCTGCTCTGCGGCAGAGGGAATTTTTTTGGGGGGGGTGGAGGGAGGGTGGGAAAGCAAATGTGGAGTTATGGACTGGGGAGAGGACATATATTTTTATGTTCTTGCAATAGCAGAATAAAGAGAGCGAAACCTATTTACATACTTGTAGTGAAATTGGCTTCCATGTGTTAAAACTTGTGTCCTTAATGCTTGTTTCATGCTGGGCCAGCGGAACTAACTTTTCATACCAAGCCAGACATTTATGTCTTACGTTTAAGACTTGTCTTAGTAAAAACTGCCATAATTCTGTAAGGAGGTAGGTTTTCTTTTTTAATGAATACACTTTATTAAAAAATTTGAAGACAAGAAACAAAGAGATGGAAGGCTTATCTGTTTGCACAAATGGCAGCTCCCATTCTCTCCATTTCCCTCATTAGGAATTTGAAAAAGCCCAGGAAAACCTTGGATGTCCTTTGCAGAACAGTTTGTTATTGCATTCTGAAGCAGTGATTTTATAATAAACCCACTAGTGATATGTTATCCTTACAGAATCACCAGCGTAACTGTAGTTTACCCTTCTATATCTATGAAGTTTCTGGCTTCCAAATAAGCCAGAAATTACATAAAGATTATTTAGCTCAGTGCAAGCATCCATTGCTGATAATACAGGTTAGCCCCTTGGTTAACAGGTTAACACCTTGGCCATCGAGCCTACGTTACAGTGATTGGTAAATAAGCCGGGCAATACTTTGACATCCTTCAATCCAGGACTGACTTGTAAGCTAGTGCGACATCAAGACATTTAACCCCAAGAGAAGATGGATTTGAGAGGAAAGCTCAGCACATAGGAGGCTTTCAAAGCGGCACAGCTCAGCGCTGAGAACAGCTGGGAGAGGAGGTCAGCAATAGGTAGAGCTGTCAGAGCTTGCCTTCCAGTACACCTCAACTTACAGCTGTCAAGTAGGTGCTACTCTCCTCACCTGAGGGAAGGGGAGATGACATCACTGTCCTCCGAACTTCCAAAATGCAAAGAGGAGGTAGTGGTGGTGGTTACAGGCATTGAGTGTTCGGCATCCTCTGATGCTTTAGGTGGGAGCTGGAAGGTGCAGCTAATACCTTTAATTCTGCTGCAGCAGCTCAGTCAGAGCAGAAGCCAACCCACAGGGAGACAGGTGGGTAGAGTACACACACAGCTGTTTTCCACCTGCAAGGAACCTAAGTTTAAGGTGTTTTGTGACAGTATTCTTGCTGTACTACCAAAGGCCATTCTATTTGTAACATGACACATGGGAATCTGGGTGTCTAGAACTGCAACCAACTACTTCCATAAGAACCTCTTACGTACAAGATATGTCGATACAAGTCTTCATTAAATAACATGATTTTCTCTGTTAAAAGACTTGGAAATCTGTGTTTAAGAGGCACGTAACAAGACAATAATGAACCTGTACAGCCATAACTCCGCTGAAAAGCCATGTGAAATTAAATATGGAGATTCTAGGTACATGCATCCTTTAAAGAAAGACCTATTCCACTCTATAGACAGTCCTGCAAAGCTTGAAGGAAAGTGCTGTCTTCACCAACACATTTGGACCAGCTGGAACAATCTAAGCTACTGAGCCCGAGGTGCAGACAAGGCACAAGGACAGCTGTTGGGAGCCAGACCATTTCATGTGCTTAATGCCTCCCCACCACTCACACACCTACCTCACAGACATTCTACAGCAAGAAGGTATTTCTGCAAAGCAACAGTCCTCAGGCACATAAAACCCCCGGCTATGTACGGAGGGTGACAGGTTGGTCTCAGAACATGGGATTACATCACAGGAAAATGCACAACAGCACAAGTAACAATGCAAACTGTGGGAGCTCAGGACAACTGGCAGGAATCTGCTGGTGTCCAGCAAGTTAACTACTGACATGAGGACATCCAGGCCTACATTTCCATGTTTTAAAGTCTGCAAGGTAGGGATTTTTGTTTTGCTTTTTTTTTTTAATAGACAGGAAGACCAAGGTGTATTTGCCCAGCAAGTTTTATTACATGAATTTGAAACCTACAAGTGCTGCAACTTTGCCAGGATGAAGCCCTGTACACACAGTGCCTAATGCTGTTTGCTGAGTAGTCTTGCCAAAGCTAGTAAGGCTTAACCTCCAAATCACATGGTATACTACAAGTTCTGGTGTTTGTGATGTGACCACTACAACACCCTTTGCTTTACAGAGAACAAGGGGGTCTGGATAGTGAAGTTATGGTTACAACAGCAGATGCCTTAGCAGAAGACTACAGAGACATTCCAACAGTGACACTTTAATTGCAATACACATCATACAAAATTAAGTCAGTCTTCACCAGTTTAAGTGATACTCAGAATGCAGAGTAGTAATGAGATTAAGAGATAAATCTTTTGCTTGCACGAGGAAGAGGCAAGCACAGCATTTGCAATGAAATACAGCCCATTCACCACTGTCATCTTGAAACACTTCAACTACAATGCTTAGCTCTTCGCTATTCCAATGACACCGCAAGCTAAACGAGGGCCAGCATTTCCAGTTAATTTGCTTTCATTATCTCCCCCTCTGCCCAGGTCATCACGTTTTTCATGGACCTGCAAGAGAATTGAAGATATCTTAATTCATGTTATTGAATAATTAATCAATATTTTTCACTACTCACATTAGCAAGCAGTACTGCCAGCTACCAGCAGGGCATGTTACACAACAGAGAGAACCTGTTGTAATTATGTAATGCTGAATGCCAAATCAACGCTCAAGCTAAAAGCTTTGGACTTGTCTAAAAAGATAAGTTGTCTTCATCTGAATTTGTTTGAACTGGAAGTCTCTAAACACCCATGTTTCAAAGGGTTATATAATTAGACAAGGAGCAAGCCTGGCCTTGACATTACAGGTCTCTCTTACTACATAAGGCTGGCGCCTGCCCTGCCCTCAGCCACACCATCCAAAGCGCTTCACTGCTCATCTCCCTGCTCCTCAGTCCTGGCCTGTCTCGTGCAGTACGGTGGTCTCAGTGTACAGTGGAGCCCCAAAGGGAACAAGCCTGAGTGCTCCTGGGCAGCCAAGCCCACACAGCCCCTGCCTCTCTCCTTAGGGAGACCACATCAGGAGAGTCAGCAGCTACCAGACCAGTGAGCAGCGTCCCGATGTGCTCACTGCCACACCTTGCAGTGAGAGCATTTGTGCCAGACTGCCAGTTCCTTCCTTAAATCAAGTTGCTTTAGTCACAGCCGAAGATAGCTAAATTATATGTAGAGGAACATCATCTTCACTTCCTGCCTTTATCTCACAGCAATGAAGTGCCATACTAATACCAGAGGGCTTTCAGGCAGGGCTTCAAAGAACTCCTCACACTGGAAATCTTGCACTACGTGCTCTGCAACAGACATTAGGGACTGGCATCCAGCATCAAGAAGTCTCCACTCACTGCCAAGACTGCTCTAGTGTTCCTTAAAGCATCCAAGCAGGCACCAAGACACCTACCACCATGGTACGGCCAATGACGCAGTGTGGTCCGCTAAGAGAAATGATGGGATCTTCTATGTCCACTTCTGCCACTCCTCCTTTAGCAGTCACATTGCCAAGGTCTCCCACATGCCTACACAAAGACACAGAGAAACTCATAGAAAACTTGGCTGAACTGAAAAGCTCTTCTAAGCAATGACCTGGACAATACAACACCCACAGTTACTACACTTAAGTACTCAACCATCTTGCCTGAAAGAGCACATATGTCCTCATTTATCACCACCAATCTTGAACACATCCATTATTTTAACTCCCTTAGTTCAAAGGACTATTAAAATTCAGTTCTAGGTAGCAGTTCAAACTTGAAGGTTAATCAGCTTTGGGGAAAGGAATGCCAAGCCAACAAGGCATAACACACAGGCAAGAATCCCTCCATGCTGATGGCATTCCCCTCTGCTCAAAGCCTCACCAATTATTTCAACAACATTTCTTGCACATACAAGGTTTGGTGTAAAGACCACCACAATTCTTAAGAGCTTTTAATATCTATCACAAATCAGCTATTCCACAAACAGCTGCAGGCTTTAGGTTTAAACAGGATTAGTTAAAGCGGTTTCTCAAGTGACAGGTTAAAGGGGGTGCATGAAGCACTAAGTTCAGTGAGTACCAGGATTCACTACTGGAGCTTGCTTGGCATTTTCCCCATACACTTGGCATTATACCCTACTTTTATCAGAGCTAGATCTCTGCTAGGACTTCCCTTAAAAATTAAGTCTCAAGCAGTTCAGTTTCACTGAACTTTTGCACATTCCAGCATATCATTCCCCACACGTTTGCCCTAAATAAACCATTCACTCAAAAGACAAGTTGATGGTGTTCTGCAAGGCTCTTCTATCCAGATTCAGAACCTGGTGCAACCAGCTCAGCTCACTGCATGCAGACCACCAGCTTCTTCGCATAGCACCAATTTCATATTTTTAACCACATCCTATAAAAACCAGGTCAAGGGCAGTCTTCCCTTTAGGAAATTGCTTGATTTAAGCTTCCAGGAAGCTTCAGCCTGATCATTTCAACTCTACACTGATAAAAGCGTGAACTAGTTCTTATACTCTCCTAAGCAATTCCCCAGCTGGATGAGCCAGCAGATTACACCAAAAGCGGGATTGGACAAAGCAGAACCAGCAGGAGCCATAATGTTCATGCAATTTTGACCTTTAACACTGGAGCAGCGAGCTGCCTGTGAGTGCACCACTTCACCCTGCTCTCTCATCCAGCCAGCTGGCAAGCAGCCAAGCTCACCTGGTCAGGTGTGCAACCAATCACCCAGGTATGGATTTATCAGTCACAGAAGGTGCAGTTAAGGATGTAAACACAAGCATTCGATGGCTAATCGCAACGCCAAGGTGGTCCCAATGCTGGTCCAGACCCTAGCTGTGCAAGACCAGCCCGTCTTTACACTTGCTCCTAGCTCCAGTCACTACCACAACAGCCTTCACACTTGTGCACCCCCTCCCCATCTCACACCCAGTCAATACACTATTTAGACGAGCTGCTCAGACATCAGGTTTCAAATATGCAAGGGTTCCCTGAAGGCAGTTGATGAAAACTGCTTCCAGGGTAAGAACTAGGTCCCAGCCACCAGTGAGGTACAGGAGATATTTAGTGTAAGCATCAGACCCCATACTGACACACAGCCCCCAAGAAGTACACACTGCAGGCAGGACAGTATCTAAGCTAACAGCAAAAGAACAGTGCAACACACTCAATAAAAAGCCACTGTGACCAGGCACACACACAGCTCTGTATTCATCCTGCAGTCATTCCTGAAGCCTCAGCACCTTCCACTGATGATCCCCATCTGCCACGTGACAAGTCTGCATAAAGCTCGACAACTGAGAGTTTAATGCCCCTGTTGTCAAAAGGGACTCCAAAGCAGAAGCAAGTTACCACTGCTCAAAATAAGGCTTTAACACATGAATCCCCACACTCACACTGTGAGGAACTTTCACTCAGCAGAAGCCTCTATTTCCTCTTTTGTCCAAGTCATGACAAAACAAAAATATATTCCAGATACTACATTTTACCAATACTCTTGTAGCCAAGGTGTCTAACAGATTACTGTACAGTGATGAGAGCCTCCACTGATAGACCCTAGAAGTCCTGCAAGAATTACCAATTTTCTTCTGGTACTCTCTGAGCACTGCTCATGAAATGGCCTCTCAAGCACAGAGCAGCACACGGATGGCTGCAGGATGGAATTGCTATCCCCTAGGAGGCACACTAAACTCACCTTTCCGCATCAGTTGGTCCACCATGCTGCTTGCCTTCAGGATTGAAGTGAGAACCTGCACTGGTACAGCCTGGAAGAGAATGCAGCTATTAGAAGCAGTCTGGTGGGGTTTTTTGGTAGCAGTCAGTTTAAATCTGCTGCTTACACACTACACCAAGAGAGTCCTCCTACAGCCAGAGGCAATAAAGTTATTAATGATGAAACAGCTACTCTCCTGCTGGATGTTCTACTAATCCTCTGGAGGTAAGTAACCTACTACCGACTTACAAATTCAATACAGTAAGACTACTCCTTCTAGAACACTCTGTCCTCAGCTGAAAGCTTTCTTATTTAATGCCGGGTTATCAAAACATTTAAGCTTGTGCTTAACATGTCAGATCTTGAACACCAGCCTAAACATGTTCAAAGTATTAAATAAGAAGCAATTCCTTAGGAAATATCATAATTTCTTAACACACAGATTTGCAGTCATGAGACCCAAATACACTTATGCTAGATGCTGCTGCAACACTACAAGGAGAAAAAAAAAAAAGCTGAGCAATCGCACTACAGCTGTAACTCAAAAACTTGGATAGACATCTTACCATTTGTATTGTCACCAAACTCATGGACATGGAAGCCATGATCTCCATCAGCCAAACCAGTGATTCTTCCAGTAACTTTAACTGGTCCACTACCCTTTAATAGAAATAATTTGTTATAATCAAAATTACTACGGCATTAAATGGCCTGGCGTTACATGAAGTTTCTCGGTCAACAGACAGCAGGAGAGACCCCGCTGGGAGCTCGGCTACCGAGACATGAGCAATCACCTCACGTTCACTGATTCTGTGTGTCAACACAGCGTCTGACAAAACGGTCCCGTTTACTGCGCCACTTAAAACCCGCTTTTTTTATCATCAGCAAAAAAGAATGCCTTTGGCCAAGCCGCTCGCTTTCGGGAACGATCACGCACTTCCATGGGG